TGGATTCTTCAACATTATGAGTGTTCTTAAGATACCTGTCACTTAATTTTCCGTTGAAGTTGACATCCTTCAAACTTATTGACTCTTTTTCGGGACAAAACAGTTGCAGCACTTTTCAAGAAACATGCAATTTTGAAGCAGATGCACGGAGAATCAAAATTTCACTCATACTCCACTACCTATTTTTCCTTTCCTTTCTTCCTCCTCTTATATTTTGCTATTATTCTCAGAAACACTATTTATATCATTGCTCTCTCCATAAAGTTGTTAATCATCTCATGATAGGACTCCGCTTTTGATGAACAAGTTAATTTGTGTCTTGGCAACAATTTTCAGCATATCACCCAAGACACAAGCTCAAACTGTTTCCCTCACTCCGGTATTTTCGAGGAAAAGAAATGATCTTTACTGCATTCTGAAGTAGGTGTGAAAGAATGACATTGGAGTTCGAAGGAGATGGCAGCTTTTAGCGTAACATTACCAAAAATGAACCGAAAATATAGTTCATCTGAAAGCTTTGAATGCTATTCCAGCAAAAATATCCAGTTTACTATATAACTAGTAACATAATAATAATTATATCACCTTGGTCTGCAACAGCCCGGCAATGAAACCATGAGAAGAAAAGAACAGACGCAAAACCAAAGGGAAGCACTGTGAAAAGGAAGCATTGATCTTTCAAATACATCATGTACAACCTAAATATATACAGCGACAGACTGTTCGTTAACTGCTGACGATTTTAGGATGTTGCGCGACTAGAAATCAAGGTTGTGGGTCCTAATTCAACGACCATTAGAAGACCACTGCCCTCGTTTGTTTCTGTAACGCAAAGCAGTAAAATTTTAATGTTATTTGGCTTTTTCAGCATTATAAATTATTTAAAGCGTGGTTGTCTATGCCGCCTAGGATAGATCAGTTAACAACCCACGCTCACGATTTTGAAATGTGATTGTTTGGCATGTGCTTTTTTTCGTTCGAGAAACATTCAGGCGCAATTCCCAACATCTTTCATGATAATTATCTGGTTTCTCTTCCAAATAACCAGTTATAGAGGTAGTTAACGCCAAGAAAGATTACATGGATTCGTTGTTTTCTGCGATATTACCCGTTTATACCAATGGAATAAGACGAGGTGTTCTTCTGAAATGAAAAATTAAAACAAGCTTGTTTATTGGCAGAAAATGTTGTAGAGACGTAGCATTTGTGCGTTTTGTTGTTAACATCCGACGTTTTATATGTATTGTTATAAAAAAAACAGATAAGGGGCAGTATTGGTCCTGCAGGTATCGATTTAGCGGGTGAAATGTAAACCTTGATTTCATTTTTAACTTTTCCCATGTTTCAAATGCAAGTGTTTCCCGTTTTTTCCTCTTCTTTTTGTGGTCTCTTGTTTGTCCATAAGCCTTTACACGTGGATACTCCAGATCTAGTAGTTTTGCATACCGGAACTGAAATTTTCAATTGAAAAGACACTACTTTCGGAAGTATGAGCCGTTGACATATCCATATTGGAAAACTCTGTTCCAGATCTCGAGAAATTTCTTTCCATGAGAATCCCACTAAATGAACTCTAATGAATTTTCTACTTCCTTCAAACAACAGCTAAAAAAGGAATATGATTTATATTATTGTGGAGGCGGACAAGCCCGAGTAGTATTCCTGCATTTATAAACATAGAAGGAGTCGACTCAGATTAAATTTAATTTATGTTTAAAAAAACATTGAGGTAAGATGCATGTTACATATCAAGCATAAAGACTTATATTTTGTTCACATCGTAATTGGTTTACTCTAGATACTAGCAATATAGTTCTCAACCTACTTTTTGGAAAGCAAATAGATGACGCAGATATTGTACTCTTTCCACAACGCGCTACAAACAAGAAAGTACAATATAGGGGGCCAGGCTAAGCCTGGCCTAAAAACAGAATGCAGAATTCTTAATTGATTTTTTTTGAAAACGAATCATAGAGGCATCATCTAAACTACTTGCTAGGTATCTTTTAAAAGCATAACTGAGACATGTTGTAGACAGTTGTCGAAACAAAATAAAAAAGTTTTTATTCAGAAAAATGACATTTAAATGTACTCGACTTTGAAGCAGGAATTGAATCAAAAGCACGCCTCTTCTGACCTCACCTGCTCTTTCTAGTTAAACTTATGTCTGAACCTCACTTCATTCAGGAGACTTTAAACGCTTAGCTCACTCCCGCTAAAACTCTCTCTGAAACTCGCCAAGCCTGTGGATTATAAGCTAAATGGAAAATTGGAATTTTCAAAATTGACCACCTAATGTTAAGGTGACTTTTTGACCACCACTTCCGTCGCTTGAACGTGAATAACAAAATAGCGTAACCGTTAACGAGTCCAAAAGTTCAAAGCAATGCGAAATCAAGCTAGTTTAACTTTAAAGTGAATGGTTTGAACCTAGGAGTATCAGTAGTTGGTGTAGTGTGATCGTTCGGGTGAGTGTAGTTCTGAAAAGAACTGTTGTTGGTTACTGAAAGATCTTATAATGTTTTAACGGATCCATAAGTTCAACGAGTAGGACTGGAATGGAGCTTTATTTTTTTCACCATCATAACCAAAGTCATATTCAGTTACACTACCACCATCTTCAACGAAAGAAGCAGCGCCAGCTTCTGTGATCCCAATCCCATGATTAGCACGTGCACACTCACCCGGACGATCACACCACGCGAACTACTAGTTTAACTTTGTTAAGAGGCAAAAACAGAACATTAACTGACCATTTAAAACGCTCATTGATTAGCCCACGGCAAATGCCCACTTCAGTAGCATTTTGTATATTATGGAGACATATTTGCTTAGGGTTTGGGTTTTATTATCGCTGACAATTGAGGTGTGGTTTAGGGGTTGATATATGAGCCACCAATTTTCAAAGTGAAACAAAGTAAAACCTTAATCTTATTTTCTATTTTTTTGTCAGCTTCGATAGCTACTGTTCTTTTGAAAGCCAAAACTTATGGTCAAAAAAAGAAAAATCTAAAAAAAAGTCTGCCATTGTCGGATGACGTCACCGAGTCTTAGCAGCGAAATTTGCATACGTATCCCATGATATTAGCAACGTCTTGTGGACGACGTAAGGCTATCTATTAAAGGTAAAAACTTTTCAAAATATTGCAATGTAACGAAAACGCATGGCAGGGTTCCAACTAACCCCTTCCACTCCCCTTGCACCACAGTGAAGGTATAAGTTTTTATTTACGTTTTGAAAATTAAACTTGAATAATAAGGTGACAAGAAACAGGAAACATCTTTCTTTTCAGCGGTCTTCAGTTCTGAACTAAGTTTAAAAAAGAAAGATCTTATAATGTAATCCATAAGTTCAACGAGTAGGACTGGGATGGAGCTTTATTTTTTTCACCATCATAACCAAAGTCATATTCAGTTTCATTACCACCATCTTCAACGAAAGAAGCAGCGGCAGTTTCTGTGATCCCAATCCCATGATCAGCACGTGCACAGGTCCATCCTCCCCCACCAATCATCATCACTGATCCATCCCCACTACCATAGTCACACCAGAAGCCGATTTTTTTGGCGCTTTGGATGTTTCCATTGCAATCAGCCTGTTGAAACCCGTCTGTTGACTTGTACTGTCCGCCATATTGAACCGTACAACTACCCAGACACTGTTTACTGGCCCAGACCTTGCCATTTCTAAAGTCGCCATAACTTATGATTTTAGATCGGAATGTTTGTCCAGCCAAACAGTTACCTGTGGTCTGTAACAGAGGAGTGTGACTAGGGTCGTCATTACGAGTGATTTTTAATTCTCTGCCTCTGACCGACCAAAAGGCTGTTGAAATCATATCGTCGTTCATTAAAGGGTTGTTTATCGCTCCAATGGCAATTTGTTGGTCATACCACCATCTACCATCGTCACGCATCCAATTTTTGCCATCGCTGTTTGAGAATCGAGCGATAAGAATCCAGCCTGCATTGAAAGAACAGTTCTCATATTTTCTGTTTTTTGATTATTATTATTATAGTGCATGGACATTTTAATTTTATTTCTACGTCTTTGTGGCATATGAATATTGTATTGTGGAATATTGTAGAGGATAGCTCTGTATTCTCTTTCTAACTTGAAACGAATTGTGCAATGTTCCCACACTCCTTCTGTTTTTATCGGGGGTAAAAAAAAAATAATAATAAAAAATAAAAAATTTGCGGTGACCATAATGAAAAATATTAACCGTTAGCCGTAAAAACCATCACTACATTAAGACACTCTTTAAAGACCAACTTTTGAGCGAGAGGTAGATCGATATAACTACGGATTTAGGGCCTCAGAGCCTCGCTTTCTAGTCTAATAGAAAAAAAATGCAGGGGGGGGGGCACTTTCTCGGTTTTACCACCTGATATCCACAATCGGCCAGAAAGTTTGGAGATGTGAAAAAGATAATGGTTCTTAGCTGTTGCAAAGCAATAATCCTATGTTTTATAAACCGTACATTTTCTTTTACTTTA